ATTTTTCTTTCTCTCTCTCTCTCATACTTTTTCTCTTTCGCGAGTGATTTGATGAGTGATTACGTGATGGCTGTGGCTATTCGGACCTGGCTGTACACGCTCGATAATCGCGACACAAACGGAATACGGTAGCGAGTTCTCCTCCCCGAGAGCCGATGAATACTTCGACGCACGTTCCAAAGTGAAGAAAGAAAGCCGTTGTCGGACTGCCACTTTATCAGGCTCCCGGCACTTAACTTTCAAGAGTCGTTTCGAAATCCCCTGACAGTCCGGTTGACGACTCTTTAATTTCTTCTCTTACTGCAAGTGTAAAAGATGATGCAGAAATTTTGCACGCGAGTTTAATTTACTTCGAGCTCGGAGAAATTTAAATATTTTCAATATTTAAATATTATTTCATAAAATATTATTTAATTAATTATTCAATTAAATATTAATTAAATATTATTTAATATTTATTATTTGAATTGTATATGATTATTGTACAAGGAGTCCCATTTTAATCGATGACCCCGAATAACTTTTTTAATTTTGATTGTAGGAAAAAATGTTTCCGACAAAAGTTGTATGGCTTGAAGGGGGATATAAGATGGTATCATTGGTTTTATCTTGTCAATCACCAATTGATTCCTCTCATTATTTTGTACATAAAAGTATTAAGGTAGGATAATCGAAAAATAAATATTTTACTAGATATTTTACGGTTTATGTAAAATTAAGATATTATTTCAAGCCTCATAACTCGCAAAGTACTTAATGAAAACTAACTTAATTATAGTGTTTTGGAAAGCTCTCGAGATGAATTAGAAAAATATGCAAAAGCATACGGTATAAGGTGTCTCATTTAAAAAGTTGGATGTGACCTTTAGGTGACTCTTCAATGTAAAACTAAAGACACTATCTTATGTCCCCCTTCAAGCCATACAACTTTTGTCTGAAACATTTTTTCCTACAATCAAAATTAAAAAAATTATTCGGGGTCATCGATTAAAATGGGACACTCTGTATATTATATGAAAAAAATTGTAATATTTCAATTTTCATGATGAAAGAACAAAGTTTAGGATATTAAAATCAAATTAAATGTCGCAGGAAATAATTATCAAAAAAATACAAGAGATATTTTCTTCTATTTTGAACGACTTTACATATTTCTGTCTATTCACTTTTAATCTTCGCATCTTCACTTGGAAAAAGAAGATTATTATATAATTATAATTTATTAGAGAACTCGCTACATGCGTGTCAGCCGGGACGACGCCACGGGATGGAGGAAAGGAGAATGAATACACAAATTGTAAATTACACAAGGACACATCCACGACACTCGCGATAGCGACTTGATGTCCCCGAAGTAGTCCGAGCCGAAGAGACGATCTCTCAAAAACGTATATCCAGAAAAAACGGAACGATCCGATCGCGCCTTCCGATAAACTCCTAGAAAATTGTCCCTTAAGTGGTAAGTTAAAAACTTAAATTTACACGACGAGAGTACAAAGTGAACGACTTTGAGAGAGAGAACGCGCGTCGTAGAGTCGATTAGAATGCAAAACGACGAGTACATTGAATTGAGCAAACAATAGGACAGCAATGAAAATTCCTTCGTGATCGATGCTCCTCGCGAAGGAGTAATAAATCGGAGAGCTTCCCTCCGAATCCACCCCCGCTTTTCTTCCGTCGCTTTCTGCGTCGTTTGCAATCCTCTCTTTGCGACGATTTCCACCGGCAAAGAGAACAGCAGGACCTCTGGCTCTCGCGAATTGATCCGCGACGCGACATTTATTCGCAGTCGAGCGAACGAGCGGCGATGGCTATTTACCTGATAAACGTGTCGTTGCTGAGTAAAAATTTCATTACGGACATGCAGCTGGAATGTAAATTTTTCATTCACATGTGACGTTCATCGATGGCATACGAATGTATCATAAATTTCTGACGATCGACGTAAACGAAAGCTGCTCCAACATTGAAGCGTGATTGATGTCGCACGGTTATTTAATCTCATTTTTAAATTTTGTACATCAAATAAATCTTACACGATACAGGATGATTGCTTTTTTTTCATACAAAACATATAAAAAATACAAGAGTGAAAAAGAAAGGAGAGGAAGGAGGGGAAGGTCCTCGATTAGTGTCGAAAAACCGAGAATGCTCGACAAAAAAGTGCTCTACAATCGTCTTATTGCAAAGAGTCAACATATTTATCAGATAAACAGCCTACCTGTCGATGGTCTTATTAAAATCAGCGATGTAGACACAAATAAAACGATAGAGAAATGTTTCAAATATGCAGATTTTGTGCTTTCGAGTCCGATTTCTTATAGACGACTATCAAATAGACTCTCAGAATTCGGAGGAATTATTGAAGACAATTATTGGCGGCGGGCTCGATAAAATAGTACTCACGATGGCGACATTTTATAATACTTTTCATCAGCGAGTGCAATTTTACATCGCACTGGAAAAGAATCGTGAATAAATTTTCGCAAAAATTATTCGAGAAGACCATTAAATTAACAAAATTGCTGTCATTTTACGCAACAACTTTGAATATTTTCGAAAACATTTATCAAATAAAATATATTCCATTTTACCGCGTTATTAAAGAGACGAGAATCTCCGCGAAATTAATACGCTTTTTCCAGATAGAATTTGCGATTATCCTCCTACGCGTTTTGCAAACAGCTTTCAGCCCGATGCAAAGCCGCACTCGCTCATGTAGTTTTTTCACCATCCCACAATTATCAAGCTCGCATTTGTAATAATATTTATATATACGATCGCGATATACACGTTAACGGTGGTCGTAGGTGATCGTTTTATGACGATATATATGTATTAGACGTACATACATACTTGTTACGCATGTAAAAGATGGATTATACCGAGTGATACGGATTGATACGATATTACTCACATGTCTTGAGAGCCGACGTATGATCCGTTTTAACGCATGCGTTTACGACAGTGGAATCGCTGTAAAAATCATTATCTTCTACGCGCACGTTTGCGCTCGGGACAGTGTGTGTGTTTATGTTTACATAGAGATTTGTAGCGCGAGAATCGCGGGGTGGAAAATTGTCAAGAGCTATCTGTCACGTACAAGCGATCCACATGGTTTCATAATAAAAATACACGTCGTATCAAGTAAATTACTTACATGTTGTAAAGTAAAATTACATCTACATCTTTGATTAATAAATAGAAAAAACTTGATAAAAATCTAAATAAAAAAAATGACTAAATAAAAAAAATTTGATTAATAAATAAAAAAAATGATAACGTCAAATCGATCAGCTTTTTATAATAAAGATACATGTCGTATCAAGTAAATTACGTACATGTTGTAAAGTAAAATTACATCTACATCTTTGATTAATAAATAGAAAAAATTTGATAAAATCTAAATAAAAAAAATGACTAAATAAAATAATTTGATTACTAAATAAAAAAAAAATGATAACGTCAAATCGATCAGCTTTTTATAATAAAGATACATGTCGTATCAAGTAAATTACGTACATGTTGTAAAGTAAAATTACATCTACATCTTTGATTAATAAATAGAAAAAACTTGATAAAAATCTAAATAAAAAAAATGACTAAATAAAAAAAATTTGATTAATAAATAAAAAAAATGATAACGTCAAATCGATCAGCTTTTTATAATAAAGGTACATGTCGTATCAAGTAAATTACGTACATGTTGTAAAGTAAAATTACATCTACATCTTTGATTAATAAATAGAAAAAACTTGATAAAAATCTAAATAAAAAAAATGACTAAATAAAAAAAATTTGATTAATAAATAAAAAAAAATGATAACGTCAAATCGATCAGCTTTTTATAATAAAGATACATGTCGTATCAAGTAAATTACGTACATGTTGTAAAGTAAAATTACATCTACATCTTTGATTAATAAATAGAAAAAACTTGATAAAAATCTAAATAAAAAATATGACTAAATAAAATAATTTGATTACTAAATAAAAAAAAATGATAACGCCAAATCGATCAGCTTTTTATAATAAAGATACATGTCGTATCAAGTAAATTACGTACATGCTGTAAAGTAAAATTACATCTACATCTTTGATTAATAAATAGAAAAAACTTGATTAAAATCTAAATTTAAGAAATGACTAAATAAAAAAAATTTGATTAATAAATAAAAAGAAAAATGATAACGTCAAATCGATCAGCTTACGAAAAGCCTCGAGTCTCTGTTTCGAAAACACCGACAGCTCTCGTCATCTTCCACCCCCCTAATTGTTGATACGCGAATTAAAACAGACGCCTCGCACCTCAACCCTCAAAATTGATAACAGTTGTAATCTATCGTGGATATACTTATGTACATTCGCGATTAAATGGTTTATATCGTCTTACACATCGCTCACAAATAGGGACATATCGTATGTTAAAAGTTTTAAACGCACACATTCACATACACAATATAAACATCTAACATATATCCCTCCTCTGTTTGATTTTCGGAATTTTAGTTCCCTCGCGAAGAAAAAAAGATGCTTTCGTAACCGTCGAAGTACGAGGCGTCATTTTCGCGTCGTTTGAATCGCTACGATCGTGTAGCTTACACAGAGCACGTCAGGAATTGCCGCTTAAAGTTTAACGATAAAATCCTTGGCGAATTTAGGGTCCAATTTTTTCAAGAACAATCACTTTTATGCAGATATATTTAATATAAAATATTATTATTAATAAATTCATAATAAATATTATTAACAATAATTATATTAATTATAATTATTATTAAATATTAGTTATAAATATTATTAATAATAACGTTAAATATCGTTATTGACCTGTAGATGTATTTAATATAAAATATTATTATTAATAATTTAATATTTTATATTAAATATATCTGGGGACAATAAAAATGTTGAAAGAATGGAATATAATTTCTTAAGAATAAAATAAAAAGGATGATGCTATTCGATTCAAAATAAATAAGTGAATAAAAACATTATTGACATTCTTTTCTGACTGAAATATTTAATATTGATCGAAGAACTTATCGTTAAAAGATGAGCGATCCTGAAATGCCCTGTAGACTTGAAGGTGATCGACAAAAGCCGAATTCGCTCGTGTTACTCGAACGACGACCTCGACGCTTCGCGTTTCTCGCCGCTCGATTAATATATTTTTACGCGATTAATATATTTTTCTTCTCACTTTTTTCTTCTCTCTCGCGTTTTTCATCGATAGATTGTTCTGAGCAATTGAGATCTAGTATTGGAGGGATTTAATATACCTGAAACGTTAGTCACTCCCGTCGCATTATCGTCCGCACCCTGGACATTCCTCTTTTCAGGGCGCATCTTCTCGTTTCACTGCACTCGAGACACTCGTCGTTGATGAGAGGAGTCACCAGAATCCTCGATAACGCCGACAAGTGTCCTCCCCTCGACGTTTTCCTCAGCTATTTCGCTTTGTTATCTTGTCGCCTAATCATTTTCTCTTTCAACATCGTACTCGGCTCTCATCCATCCGTTCTCCGCACTCATCGCATTCAGCACTCACACTTATCTGAGGATAACAATTGACATACGTTTCGTAACTTTCCTATGCGACTAGACAATGTGTCGTTGCATTGTCTTATTTTTATTATTATATTATAATAATTATTTTCCCGTTAACGCGTAGAGTTCTACGGGCATCGTAGAGCTTACGCTGCTTGAGAAGAGGGCCTCTCAGAGTCCTCTTCTTTTATTTCAAAGTACGATTCTTCGAATTCGACCGCCGCGGATTGTGCGAATAATTCCCATCCTCCTTCCGCGATCCATTTCTTTGGCGACGACGCCGATGAAGCTGATGCGCTCGACGATCCTACCGCGTTTCCTTCTCGACTGCTCCATTTGACTAGGCCGCCAATCTCAATTCTCGTTCCGATCCTTGAGACTGGGGTGCATCCGATAGTGACGCACATTAGAGTTGTCCCATATACTTAATTTCCGCGTCTCCCCTACGTATTTCTCGATCTCCTCTTGGTCGAAGAGTGTCGCTACTACTATTACTATCGCCATCATCGCTACCACACTGGAGAATAGGTCCGTTTCACGGCATTGACATTGACTACATTCCCTTCTGAGTGCTCGAACTCTCGATTGAACTCTTGGCAACGCGAAGGAATCTGAATTCGACCGCTTATTCCAGATGATATCAAGATGATACGCGAGAATCTAACGCGATTGATACTAAAATTGACGACGACGTGCGTCGCGATTCGTGTAAAAAAGATCCGATTGCCTCGCTTCGTGACCCGAGGGGAGAGAGCAGCTCGAACGAAGAGGGAGGAAGCGAGGCAATGCCCGGTTGTCTACAAGTTACGCTAATTACGATCGTCGAAGAACGGGCGAGTACCGAGTGTCCGAGCGTGCTACAGTTTAATTAGTTTTTTCCTTGGTGCGCTAGACAGTCCTTTCCTTATCTGAAGTACTTCAGCCCCGCCACCAGCATGAACTTCTCGATGAAAAGCTCGGAATCGAGGACGGCGATGTGCGCGGCGCGACCAATCAGGGCGTTCGCCGTTGGCGGTAGAGCGTGATGCACGTCGTATCTGACGAGACTGACCCCGGGCGCCGACATCACGGGGTAGAGGATGTTGTGCACCATCTCGCGGTACGCGGCACCTGGAAGAACGGGATTATCACCTGAATCCCAACCGACCCCTTCGCTATTTCGATCGAGAGAATCGAAACGGGCCAGCAAACATCGAATAACAGTTACACAAATGTTACTTGGGGTTTAATTCCGCCGAAGAAACATGAGAATCGCGTGTGAAATGGGACAAGATGATACCTTGATCAGTCGGATCGCGAACGGCAGCCTTGCAGAGCTCGATTCGAGCGGAATGCAGGGGCACGTATCGATCCTGGGCGCTGCCGCAAAGCAAAACGTGCTTGAACTTCTGCAGATTGCTCTTCTGGCTCAAGCGGAACATGAAGGAGCGCCTCACGTCCGGCGAGTCCTTCATGGCTAGTTGCAGCAGCGATCCGGACTTCTTCCATTTCTGCATGAACCACATGCCTGACGAAAGAATTATCATTAGGATCAGTTCTCGAGGAATGCTCTCAGCATGTAAGCTTACCCGCGTTCACCAAACCACTTGTGTTGTAGAGAGTGCCTAAATGGGGTCCGCTCAAACTGAGGAAGGTGTGCAGACGAGGCAGAAGCGGGCGCAGCTGCGGTCGTGTCAGGGCGCTACGGATGATTATGGTCCCAAGGGAATGCCCGATGAAGCTCACCTTCGTCGGATTCAGGCCCGACGATTCAATGTGATAGAGGATTTCAGCCACCAAACGGTCGGTCATCGTCTCAAAGTCGGAGAAGGTGTCGCCCTTTCAAGTGATATACATGACAATTTGATATACTCTTGATTGCGGTCTTTAAAGATTCGAAGATCTCTCGAATAAAGTTTCAAAATTTAGACATTTATCTATCCACTTGTTGACCAGAATAAAATGTGAGAAATAATCTCACATGATGCTTCGAACGTATATAATTTACCTGATTTCTTTCGGACATGAGAAAATCCAGGTGGGACCCGGGCAGACCCAATTCCAAGTACGTCTTGACGAGACGGAGGTCGGCGGCGTTGCCATCGAGGCCGTGGACGCATATGATGAGATGCGCACCCTCCGGCGAGAAGAGCCGATACTCGTCGCTGATGTGGAAGTACGGCAGAGTCGAGGCCAGGGTTGGATAATCACTAAGAGGCACATTCGATCTTAATGATTGAACCGATGGCGAGGAGTTCAGGAGATCACCGTATCCGAGGGAATGGGCACGTTTATGCAAACGCAACTGTGCTTCCTCGCGCTCTCTAGAGGGTAGTAAGGTAGACAGAGAAGAGAACTTAACTACAAACGGAAAGATACAGACGAAACGACGTGGAAGCGAAACGCAAAACAGCACCTAGCGAAAATGAAATCGCGAGGATCATGTCACATCGACAAAACAATTCATTAAAAAAAAGAAGAAAAAAACACCACTGAAGCGTAATCATGATTTTGACAAATTAAACCTCAGCAGAAATTGCTTCTAAAGGTGAGTCAATTACAATTAGTTTTTGAAAATAATTTTAGCATCATTTTTCAAGCACGTTTCTAGCTTAATTTGATTAATCAGAGGTATCAAACTAGGTTAAACAATTCCAGTCTCATGAGTTATTCAGCAGGGTGCATTTTTCTTCAAACTTTGACTTCAAGTAAAAGTAAAACAAAGTGTTGTAAACAGGAAGCAGTTCTAAACGGGAGATGGCTGGCACTCGTGGGAACTCGACTCACGCACCTGTAGATTTTGCCCGAGAAGCTCATCTGTCGCTTGAACTCCTCCTTGCACTTTTTGAAGTTGATAAAGTCGTCTTGCGTGGACTGCAGTAACTCCTTACCCTCCTGATAACAGTCCAAGCAGATATCCCTGGCGCCGTAGACGTTCTCCCGGTCCCGGTTCCGTTGCGGGCTGCAGGGCGCCGTCTTGTTCTGCTTCGGGCTCCTAGTCTGCTTCACCGTCTCGTACACGTGATAAAGTGGGTTGTCGATTGGCGCCGGGGGATCGCGAAACTCCTCGGGCGGCGGCGGCTCGTCCTGGAACATCTTTGGCGGCGGTAGCCGCACCTCCTCGTATGAATGCTCTTCCACGTTGTCCTTTGTGGTGACGTTGGGACGATCCTTGCGCGGCACAATCTTCGATAGCTTCTGCCGCAGCTGCTCGCTCGTGAGCTTGGCCTGATTGCGACGCTGTTCCGAGCTGGAGGTATCACCGCTACTGACCCAACCCGAGCATTCGGACGTGAGATTGCTCGAGCTCGAGCTCGGCGTGGGGCTGCTGGGCCTGGTGGACGGCGGGCTCAGCAGGTTGGGGATGACCGGTAGATTGTTGCTCAGACTGTCCTTGCTATCGCGTATCGGCATGCAAGGCAGAGAGACGGCGCTACGTGGTACCACCACCTTGTTTTGGGCCACTGGCACGCTGGCGCATCGCAGCCTCTTCGCATTTGGCGGTGGCACTCCGACGCTCGTCGACGTGTCCGATGGTGTCGTGCCATTCGTCGTCGGCGCCTCCATGGGTGACTTTATGGGTTCCATCTGAGTGGTAAGAATTATTACAATATATGAAATTGGATATAAAATTATGTTGTACCATTTATGTTTCCACATTACACTTTTGGGATCCTACCTTTAGGATAATCTTATTGTTGTTCTCTACTTCGAGGACATTTGTGGCAGGCGCCGAAGGGGGATGACGGTACTTGGGCAACGGGGCGACAGCGGGATCCTGATACGCCGGTGGTGGCGGTGCTGGCTTCCTGTTCCTGTGACTGCATTTTCTATCACTTTTGCGACCGCTCTCCTCCACTGGGTGGTCTGTGTCGAGAACGGGTGCGGAATGCGGTCGCCTGCCGTGCTTCTCTCTCCTTCTCTCGACGCGAGACTCTCTCTTCGGCTCCGGCTTCGTGGCTATCACCTCGTAGATTGGCTCCTGAGATGTCTCCGCGCTCTTCTTCTCACGTCGTTGCTTCTCCTCGCTGTAATTCTGGTTTATACCGTTGCGGGACGACTTGACCGGTCGCTCGGCTCTTCTACGAGCCGGTCGATCCCGTCGAAAGTCGCAGCATTCGTTGCGTTCTACATCGTCGAGCAGCCGGTCCGTACTCTTTGGCCTCTTTGGCTTGCCCGTCTCTTCGCGTGCTCTTCCACTGGTGCTGCCGTTCGTGCGATAGAAGAACGAGTCCGTGGTCTTTGCGTAAATATTCGATCGTTTGTTCAGGGGATCCGCCAGATGCGAATGGCTACCGGTCAGCGCGCTGCCATTCATGGACTCTGGTATTTCCGGGCGACTTCTATGCGTCATCGATGTCTTGCCGAGGGTGTGATACCTACGTGTCTCGATACCGTTCGCTTGACTGTACTTGCCGCCCGTCTGGTGTCCAAACTTTCTGGAATTTCCTCGGTAGGTGACTCTGTCCAACGTCGCCGTATGCAGTGGTTGAGGCTCCTGTAAGAAGCTGTCGCCGTTTATGTTCGCCTTGGCTGATAGAAAGCTACTACTTTGGTCGTTTGTGGTCGTTGGCAACGGTTGGCGTGTTCCCAGGCGATGACTTCGCGGCTCCAGTCGTATTCTTCTAGTATCGAGGGAATGATAATCTATGGGAAAAGATAGATCGATCCATTATCATGCAAAGTTTTCTTTTTATTTTTTTCATTAATTTATTTTCAATGAATATTCCTCAGAAAACATGATACTCTACCTTCCACCATATTCGTCGACTTGCTCTCCAAGCAATCGGGCAACTGACTGAGGTCCAGGGCGCCTATGCAGGTCGGCACTGTCAGATTCTGATCGCAAGACTTGGACGATGGTCGATAACCGGGCAGATGTCCGCCAGGCGGCAACTCGGGGAACATCGCCGCCAGCAGCGAGGTAATGGAAGTGGAATGATGGTCAGACTGCTGTTGCTGCTGCCGATTCGGCACCAACATCTGCGTGGATTTGGCGCGAGGCAGGGGAATCACCGGCGTGGATCCGAGGGATGGATTCGGCGCGGAACAGGCCTGTTGACCCGAGGGTGGGAAGAGGGTACTACTGGACGGCACTGTCGATCTGGGCCTGCCTCTCGAGGGCACCGTCGCGGGCGGCGTGACGTTGCGACCGCCGCCGCGTTGCCCCCGGGGGAACAGCTGGGTCGACACGGACCTGGGCAGAGTCTTTGGCGACGTTCTGGGCTGCAAAGGTGCCGCCAGTTCGGGACCCAGCTGATCGAGAGACTTGCTATGCCTCGCCGGAAGCGTGGAAGGCGTCAGCATCAGACGGGCCTGGATCGATCCGATGTCCTGCGCCGCACCTTCGCTTCTAGGTGACCAGATGCCCAAGGAGCGTGACTCCAGGATCGCCGCTATTCCGCAACTGCAGTCGTCCATGCTGGGAACTGAAAAGAATATTAAAAAATAAAATTTTTTAATTTGCCATCATTTAAACTGGACTGATCTGAAGCTGATAATATTGCAGGGAATAGTCATATTGCGGCAAACTTACCGCTGTTTCTGTGCCTTTGCTGCATGTCAGCGTACTGATCCTCAAAGATCAAAGGCAACGAGTGAAGATCGCCGTCCAGCTCCGGACAATGGACAGGTAACGGTGGCAAGGATGCGAGATAGCGCGATCTCCGTGCAGCCTCGCTCACCGCTTGATAAGACTGATAATTCGCGTCGTAACAGCCCGCCGCCGATGTTCTCGGATTCTCTAACACGAAGAAACCCTCCGCGAATCGCTTTACCTGAAAATCAGTCGCGGATAAGTATTGTAAAGTTTTATAAAAGAATGTTAATCGTCGCATCTTAATATTTCATAAATCTCCCTTTACTCTCAACTGATGATGAACCCGTGCTAGATGCTGATGGACCGCTTCTCGGCCGGAGAACGCTTCGAGAAAATGCTGCCAAAGGACGATGTTTTGCGCGCAGAGCTGGGCTATATCGGCCTCCTCGGTGTCCATCAACTGCCGAGGACCAATATTTGAAGAGTGTGTCGCGAAGAAATTAAAAGCGCGAGGAGGACGTACCTTTGTGATCTCCTTGTGCGTGTTCTGCGCGAGTTCGAGCGCCCTTTGTTGCCAGGAGGGAAGCAGCCGCGCCAAGTCGGACAAGTCGTTGAGCAAAGACTCCCTCGAGGCCAGAAGCAGCCTCGTGACCTCTTGCTGAACCAGTCTCGCGTGCTGCAGCCTCGTTCCCGATCCGACACATCTGGTAGTAGTCTCCTGAAATCAGACTTGGATTTATTAGACGACCATGTCCCGTTTGATGGGCGATTTTCAGCAGACTCACAATGTTTCCGAAGGTCGTCGTGTTGTTGTCGCCATTCGCCGCGGGCTGCTTAAACTGTAGCCAAGGCTTTCCGCCTCGTGGTGCGCTGCAATTGTAATTGCAGAATATATTTAGACACGTAATTAATTTTTACGGCAAATAAAATATATAAAAGAATTAAGGTTTATCGAGAGCAAAAAGAAGAAGAAGAAAAGGAGAATAAAAAAAGAAGAAAAGAAGAAGAAAAGAAGAAAATAAAGTTTACCTCTATTTATTGCAAAGGGATAATTAAGTTATCTATCCAGACATTTTTCATGCAAAAAAGTAGATTGCATCGTTTACTTTTACGTGATTTTTAAAAACTAAAGTTGATACAAAAATGTAACTGTATAATTCATGGATGAAAGTCTAGTCGGTTGAGGAATTCAAAAGTTGAGATAAGGGTAATAAATTGTGCGACTACTTGTGCGAGAAGTTTTAGCCGGTTCTGAGCTTGTTTAAAGTACCAAGAACTCACCAGCTCTGCACTACGTGCAGTATGCTCTTCCTACTTTCGTCGAGGTGAAAAGACGCGACCATAAAACAGAAAGAGGGGCTCTCGTGAGGGACAACGTCGATCGTACATTACACGAGCAGAGTATTTAAAGAGTCACCGAAATGTGAACGCGATACTGACTTGATGTAGGGCTGATGGAGTGCCACGAGACAGGCGTGGATCGTGATAGACACGGCGGCTAGGTGAAAGTAATCGAAGAGCACCGGCAGATGATAGTGAAGGCCCTTCGTGGGTGTAAAGTTCAGCTGCAGCGCCCTGAAAAGAAAACCATCTGTCAAACCACCTTAAATCGATCGCTCAGTCAAGGTGGCTATCGATCAGTCTGGCGATTTCGAATAAACATCCAACAGAGATATCCAGTAGACGTCTAAAGGATGTTTGGACGCTTCTGCGACGAGTGTTGCGAAATTGTGTTGCCCGAGGTAATTTTCTTCAACGTCGTTACCGCGAATCTATTTTATCGAGTCTGCCCGAAGGAAATCAACTTTGAGACCTGACGGAAGAGTCACTTAGGAACGCAATTATGATACTCGCAAGGAGCTTGCGCAAATCCAATTTACGTCCGCGATATTAGAATTGCTCGTGTCGTGTCTATGAAACAAACAAGAGGCGTTCAACTCTTTAAAACGTCAAGGATTGGCAACATTATCTCTTATAAATATTATAAATACATGTCTCGTAAAGCGAGTTGGACAAAGATTGCTTGCGTGTTTTAATAGACAAATATTGCCCAATTATCTACCCTTTGCCAAATAACAAGAGCAGTCTGACTTAATTTCCTTCGCCTTCCTTAATCTCAGACTTGCGTTTATTTATCGTTTACTTAATAATAATTCGCAGGTGCAGGAGAGATAAAAATTGCGCGGTCGGCCGATTGCTCGGATTGTTCGTGGTCCGCCCTTTGCGTGTCTCCGCTATCAGAGGAGAAGAATGGACGAGGAAGAAGGGGGGAGGAGGAGAGGATAATTTACTCCGACGACCGTGTTAGACCCAGGCAAGAGCTTCGCTCACCTCGAGGACACGCAAGCCATGTTGCCCGGCTGCGTCGGCTCGCTGAACCATAGCTCGACACCAAGATTGAAGTGGGTGCGCGACAGAGCCTCCTCGATCTTGTGACTGTGCACGAGTACATGCGCCCGGAACAGCACGGAAGTGCCGAGTGTCACCTCCTCGTTCCTGTACAGGATCTGAAAGCGCTTACTCGTGCCCGGCGCCTCCAGGGAATCTGCAACAGGAATTCGCGAGTCGAGTTTCTCGTCCCCGGGATACGAGATCGCTACGCAATCGATCGGAATAAAGGAGCCTGGCACGACTGAGAACTTTGCTCTCGCGTAAGGAATAGAAATGTCAAAATTGCACTGAGAAAAATCGTTTGATTGTACCAACAAGATTGAAGGCATTTTGGTTAAATCGAACAAGAATTTCTAGTTATCATGATAGACTCGATTTTTTATAACTAGAATGTTTCATAGATTTTATTATAAGGATTTGGTTAGTATTTTTTGGTTGGATCTATCAAACTTCTTGTTACATTAATTTCTTTACTTGCCGCTAGCCACTCGTATTCAATATTTACCATAAAGAACTAGTATTAACATTAAATCCAAGATATATTTTTTTCTCTTACGAGCAGTAGTGTCAGAAAGAGGACGCTAGCTCTCTGATTGTGTGTGTTTGAACTGCATCATCTTCTTGCATCACTGTTTATCAATTTAATTTCTAACAAACTGAATTTAAAATAATTTATTGAATAATCTGGATTGAATTTATCCAATAATCTTGTTAAAATTCAGAATATTAGATTACAGACTTTTGAAATTAGATGGAAAAAATTTTAGACGACTTGGTGCTGGCGAGTTTAGTATTATTAACCAGAAAATTTGATAAATTTAACAGGAAGAAATTAATCAGATTCATCTGGTAATTCCTACAAGAATTCTGGTTCGCCCATTTTCCAACAGACATACTGGTTGAATCTACCAGAATTCTAATTAATGCAACCAGATTTTTTTCTCATTGCAGAAAGAGGACGCTAGCTCTCTGATTGTGTGTGTTTGAGCTGCATTCTCTTCTTGCATCACTGTTTATCAATTTAATTTCTAACAAACTGAATTTAAAATATTTTCTTCAATAATCTGGATTGAATTTATCCAATAATCTTGTTAAAATTCAGAATATTAGATTACAGACTTTTGAAATTAGATGGAAAAAATTTTAGACGACTTGGTGCTGGCGAGTTTAGTATTATTAACCAGAAAATTTGATAAATTTAACAGGAAGAAATTAATCAGATTCATCTGGTAATTCCTACAAGAATTCTGGTTCGCCCATTTTCCAACAGACATACTGGTTGAATCTACCAGAATTCTAATTAATGCAACCAGATTTTTTTCTCATTGCAGAAAGAGGACGCTAGCTCTCTGATTGTGTGTGTTTGAGCTGCATTCTCTTCTTGCATCACTGTTTATCAATTTAATTTCTAACAAACTGAATTTAAAATATTTTCTTCAATAATCTGGATTGAATTTATCCAATAATCTTGTTAAAATTCAGAATATTAGATTACAGACTTTTGAAATTAGATGGAAAAAATTTTAGACGACTTGGTGCTGGCGAGTTTAGTATTATTAACCAGAAAATTTGATAAATTTAACAGGAAGAAATTAATCAGATTCATCTGGTAATTCCTACAAGAATTCTGGTTCGCCCATTTTCCAACAGACATACTGGTTGAATCTACCAGAATTCTAATTAATGCAACCAGATTTTTTCTCAGTGCAGAAAGAGGACGCTAGCTCTCTGATTATGTGTGTTTGAGCTGCATCTTCTTGCATCACTGTTTATCAATTTAATTTCTAACAAACTGAATTTAAAATATTTTCTTCAATAATCTGGATTGAATTTATCCAATAATCTTGTTAAAATTCAGAATATTAGATTACAGACTTTTGAAATTAGATGGAAAAAATTTTAGACGACTTGGTGCTGTCGAGTTTAATATTATTAATCAGAAAATTTGATAAATTTAACAGGAAGAAATTAATCAGATTCTGGTTCATCCATTTTCCAACAGACATACTTGTTGAATCTACCAGAATTCTAATGAATGCAACCAGATTTTTTCTCAGTGTGTCAGAAAATCCGCCTTTAATATATAAAATATTTAATATAAAAAAATGATGTAATAATTTTCCTCATATTTTGAGACGTTAAAGATCTTGATTATCGAAAGGAACTTACGATTTCGCGGTTGATTGACCTCCACCTTAACCGGCAATTTCGGCGATACTCTGAGAGCAGTTCTGATCTGATAGTACCTGAGGATCAAACAAGACTCGTTATCGATGGGCAATCTCTCCCTGAAAAAAAATCGCGATTGCGAGGCATTTCTCGGGGGTTAATCTTACCCGCGCTGGAAGAGGTCAACATTGTAGAACTTGCAGAGCTCGAGAGAGAACTCGAGGGTGGCCTGTAGATCGCTCATCTCGATCCTCGCGAATGGAAGGAGCCACCCCCGTCCCGCGCTACCCCTGGCACAATCACTAATCGCACGAAGACCAGTCTCGCTCAACGCGATCTTTAGGGCCTTGCCGAACCTCCCGACTCGTTCCTGCCATCTTGAAGAGGGATTTCAGCGCCGGAGGTTCTCTAGAATATTTAGACAATGGATTTATAGATATATCTGGAATAGAAGATTTGCGAATAGAAAATATACACGAAATGAAATGCGCATATTTTAAGAAGGAGATTAGAACAAGCGAAGCTTCATATGCCTAGCTAAGATTATCCGACGAAAATAGTTTGGAATAAAGTACGCGATTTCGAGTCCTATGAATATTTCAATCTCCAGCGCTTTAATATTGATACGAACCTAGTGGTCGCAAAATATTTGATGGCACCTTATTGTCGAGGACAACGCGGAAGGCGCTCTTCATATTTCAAGACATACGCCGGGAGGGCCATAAACGTCTCGTTAAACTTTCATCGTTACCTTACGCGATACTATTCGTCGTCTCTCGCGAACGGAAGCGTGCCTCGTCCTGCGTTTGCGGCAAATAAATCGGCGCCTCGTCCGACTCGAGGACCAAATTGAACAAACTTGGGGAACAAACTTAGCCGGCGCCCGGTTAATTAAACTCGCGAAACAAGACGCAGATGCTTAATTATAACGCGAGACTCCGTTTACACGACGATGGATGTTCGTGAAAGAACAACGACCGGATGTGTGAACGTGCATGCTCGATAATGCATGGAGGATGCAGCAGGGGGATTTAAATAAGCTCTTCTTTTTGCATGTACGAATCGATATACCGAAGGCCGGTGCGCGCGGCCTACAGCTTTGACGTGTTGTACGTGTTGTAATCGTGGAAAGTATTTCACGGCGATCTGCGTTTCACTGTCAAGGACGGTCAGAAGCGTGCACGCGAGCGCAATTATCCTCGTCCAGCTCCCTGCTTCGTCAAGCTCTAAGGATCAATGGCCTATTCGCGGCGCGGCTTGATTTTCTTAAAGCGAGAGAAAGCGCCAGTCAGTCTTTTCTCCGCAAGGATTTCACCTGAAGCCTTCAGTCGCGAAATTATTCCGGAATTTATCGCTTTCAATCGCGACATTATTTCGGATAAAATCGAATAAAATATATGTGCTTTTCGATCCTGGTTTTTTTTCTATTTTTTTTTGATAAAAATTTCCTGTTTTCGACAGCATTTATTTTACGCCTGTCAAAATGGATAGGAATAAAATGGATATTTTGTCGGAAATGATATTCTATTCCCTATAATATTTTTGCTAAAATGTCAGCTTCAAGTTCGCTAATGCTTCGGCCATTAAACAAAATTCCTAAAGTGTCTCACATCATTTTCATATATATCGACTATGCATTTTTCATATATTTATCTCTCTTATCATAAACTATGCTCACCCTCCATCGAGCGGGCACTTTTATTATTTTGTTTCTCCCTCGGTATAAAAATACGCTGCAGTTTAATGCCTTTGGTACTGACACGAGCATGATAAGAAAAACCATGTATTAAAAAGTGACATTGTAATATATGTGATACATTCTTAATGCATATATAACTGACATAATTGACGCTAATTCAATCTAAATTAATCAATTATTAAAAAGAAATGCTATCTCGTTTTTGCACGAAATTTCTAATAAATAAATAAATGTAATACAGAAAGATGCATCAATCGAAGGAATAATAATCCCAAGATTCTGACGGAGGTTCGTATAATTTCCAGTCCATTATGAATGTCATATCACATATTCTTTATGGATTGTACATGAGCGATTGTGTTTCAACGCGACACGGGAAGCCTGGATTGCGCTTAGGGGAAAAGTTTCTTAATTTACGCTCGTCGATACTTTCAAGGGCGATATATTTTCTCGGCGGTGCACGCGACGATGCTCACGATGCCGGAAAACGCTTCTTGGCGAACGCACTCCACTGCCAAGGCTGTTCAAAGGCTGCGTAAGCTCGACCGCCTCTTTCCGTCGCTTTTAAAATAAGAAGATGGGCGACAACCCTCTTGGAACAGTAGTCGACACCGGCTCTCTTTGCAGCCTTCTTTTTTACACGCGAGCAAAAACAAAAGAGTACCGTGACATAGATCCGCATTTGTCTGTGTATAAATAAATGCCTGAAAAATCGAGAGCTCCCTCCACAAATTTCAGGGCGCAAAAGTATTTTTACCAAATTAAATTTTAATAAATTAATTTAATATAAATTAATTTAATATAAATTAATTTAATATAAATTAATTTAATATAAATATTAATTATATATTATTTTATATATATTAATATAATATATAATATATATTATTTAAATAAATTAATTTATATATTAATTTATAAATTATTTATTATAAATTAATTTATATATTAATTTATAAATTATTTATAAATTAATATAAATTAATTTTATAAAATTTATAAATGCTACATAATTTTATTAAAATTCGCAAACGTCGTATTAATAAGGAGGTTATTTTTTTGTATTTTTTTTTTTTGTTATTTTTAATCTCGTTCGAATATCAAGAGAATTTTCACCGACTAGATGATTACACTATCGCGTGAAGATAATTGTACGTTCTCAGACTCTCGTGTAGCCGATTTTAACGAGCGCGATTAATATCGCGATCTCTCTAATCGTTGTTCGCGTCACTGCCAAGGTCGCTCGAAGGCCGGCGTAGCCCGGAAGCCAGCTTTTCCAGAGCGTTTATCCACCCGATGCAAAGATCAACGACCTGGTTTCGGGCTTGGATAATTCCCGCGTTACACGACGGTGACTCATAATCCGAAAATTCGCATATTCGAATGTCTCCTCGAGGACGATTTGCTTAATTGTCAGAAATAAATCCTCGAGCTTTTGCGTCAATTTTTCTAAAAATAAATTCCAATAAAAAACTGCGAGCCACCGCCTGGAATAGTTAACCGTAACAAGAAAGCAAAAAGTGTAGCTCGAGAACTATCATCCGCTGAAAAGTTCGTTATTCCTTTTCCTATAAACCGCAGAAGCCCGCGGGTTATTTCCAGAGTAGTTGAAGCAAAGTCCGTGTAATAATTTAAAGGGACGGATTTTTCTTAAGTCGGATGACACTTGCAGGAGAAGAGGAGGAAGAAGAAGGGAGAAACGAACGCCAGCAGGCGACGCTGCGACTTTGCCACTTTTAACTTAGTCCTCCATAATCCGTGGTTACGTGTACATGTGTGTAACCGGTGAAAAATAACCGGACGACATTGAGCATTCCGCGGATGTTTCTGGATTCTTTCTATTCCGAGCGATGTCTCTCTTTAAATAATATTGCGAGGAAATGTTGGGCGCGATTAAAGTTAATACATAGAATGCATCTCGCTGTATTTCCTTAAAAATTTTTTCTTTTTAACATTATTTTCATCATTATTATTCCTTTGAATTTTTATTATCCCGAAAAGTTATATTTGGACAAATCTTCAGTCCACATATAACATTTTATTATTATAATATAATTTATTTATAATATAATATATAATTATTTATAATATAATTTAATTTATAATATAATATAATTTTATTTTATTTATAATATAATTTATAATATAATTTATTTAATTTGCACAATTTACTTATAATTTATTTATTGTAATTTTAATGAATGGAAAAATTATATTAAAAAGTAAAAAAGTACATATGACTCTTTTCTACGGTGTTTTGTATAATGTTTAATAATATATAATTTTGAATTTATTTCTATAACGTAATTTTTGCAAACTTTAAAATTATATCATAAGGAAAACTGCGAGTTGCTGCGTCTCTTACAAAAAAATGATTCTTATATATTCCATATTATTATACGTCATACTTTGATGCTTTTCGCATTACTAACGAGCAACATCTCGTTTTCTATACAAAGTGAGTTTCAAGTACGACTGTCTGTCGTTTTGATGGGTTTTATAAGTCGCATGCATTTCATTTGATTTATACACACACTATCGTAATTCTTCAAGCGACATTCTGCAAGTGTGAATAAAGTTCTGATATAATATATTATTGGAATAAAATTATATTAAAAAGTAAAAAAGTACATATGACTTTTTCTACGTTTTTGAATGTTTAATAATATAATTTGAATTATCTATAACGTAATTTTGCAACTTTAAAATTATATCATAAGGAAAAAACTGCGAGTTGCTGCGTCTCTTACAAAAAAATGATTCTTATATATTCCATATTATTATACGTCATACTTTGATGCTTTTCGCATTACTAACGAGCAACATCTCGTTTTCTATACAAAGTGAGTTTCAAGTACGACTGTCTGTCGTTTTGATGGGTTTTATAAGTCGCATGCATTTCATTTGATTTATACACACACTATCGTAATTCTTCAAGCGACATTCTGCAAGTGTGAATAAAGTTCTGATATAATATAGTTATTGTTTTTTTGCATATATTTAATTCTTATTTTTACTTTATTTAAAGAAAAACGATATTTATAAGAAATATAATAAAGAAATATATGCCTATTTTCCTAAAGTAAAGAAACATATATATTTATATATTTGAAACACACATTACTCCAACAACTAATATTAAAAAATGAATAGAATTACGTTGAGAATATTAAAAATAATATCAACAATTAAAATGTCAAAAAAATATAAATCAGAATCTTAATAAGATATTAATAAGAGATTGATTAAAATTGAAAAAAAAAAACAAATTGAAAATAAATCACGTTGCAATCGACCTGACATTAAATAATTGCATACCGGGAAAATTGTGCGATAAAATCAAATGCGAAAGATTGCTTGAAAAAAGAATTGAGAAATAATAAATAAGATTTAATTAAATCGGAAGCTCGACTGAACTCGCAATTCCGATCGTTCTATCAGCGCGTGTTTTCTCAGTAACTTACGACGGAATAAAATCATGTGCAACACCGAGTGCATTTCGGTCGCACGAGGATTAATCGCTCGCACTCTTGCTTCGTGTGTACTGCTGCCGGTGATATTTCTAGCCCTGAGGCCGACGCACCGTGGCCCAGTTTAACGGCTCTAGGCGACGTCGGCCTACATCGACCGATACGTATTAACGTACACGAAGGAAGATATACGATGCGAAAATGCGAGAGAGAAAGAGAGAGAGAGAGAGAAAAGAGAG